AGTAATGCTTATCCTGGGCACATCCATCATAGACCTCCTCGTGATGCTTGTGCCTGTCAACACCACCGGCTTCTGCCTTACCAAGTTGCTGTTGATGCCCCTGCTCTACAGCATGGTGCCAGCCATCAGGGAGAATGCACCTCCTTGCAGGGCCGGACCCCTGCTGCTGGGATCCCAATAGCACCACAGCTGCTGGCTACTTCCTGGGCACGTGTCTAGACATACTGACAGCTTCCCCTTGGTGAAGCTGATGCTGGAAGGCTGCCGTGCCGCTGCCTGCGCACCTACTTACTTGCTTTTCTCTGTCAACATCCTCGCCCTTGCCTCGCCAGTGGCTTCCTCACGGTTTACTGCTATCTCCCTCCAAGGAGTTTTTACCCAAGGAGTGCAGAAGGATGCACTTGGCTTCAGCCCTAGTAAAAGTTTCCCCTTCCTAACACAGCCTGATGAAAATGCAGGGCAGTTGAGGGGAGGTCAGAAGGCCAAGGGGACTGGAAACTCTCAACCCAAAAGCAAGGCCCCCTGTGCTTTGCCCCCTCAATTCGGGAGGCCATAGAGCCAGACAGTTGACATAGCCATGGGGCACCTTCTCTTTCTCCTAGGCACAGGGCCCAGCTGAGAGCCTTCCTGAGATGGCCAAGACAGCAGGAAGGTGGAGGGCGGAGCACCATAGCCACTTCTGGCCCCACACACCCTGACAGTTCTCCAAGGCCCCCAAGTCTTGGTATCCAAGAAAGAAGAGGTTCCTTCCTGAGCATGAAGATGGAGAGGGGCTGCTCACCACCAGGAGGCAGTGAAGGGCCAGGAAGGGCAAGTCCACTGGGCTCAGAAGGCGGCTGCAGCTGCTGGGGCCTGGGGCCTGGTCCCAGAACAATGGTACCTGCAAGTGTGGCATTCTGCTTAGGAAGAGAGAATGAGTGAAGGGATTGATCAAGAGGCCCCAGTGCAATAGGGCTTTTGGTCTCATTTTGAGGAGGAGGTGGAGCCACTTACCCTGTGCTTCCTTCTCCATATCCTACCCCAATACTGACCTCCACGGGACTGGGTGACTATGCTTCCTGCTTTCCCCGCCTCACTCAAATTCCTATCCATTGTGGCAGAGAATGGAGGAAAGGGGTTATCCAGGTAGGGGGGCGGGTGCTGTGCCTTGGGCCTTTACCAGGCTCTTTTAGGCTGTTGTTAGTGGCCACTGACCCCAAATCCACTCTTCCCCTCATGTGTCTATTCCAGATGAAGATGGAGGGAGGGAAGGAGACAGGGATGGGGAGGATATATTGTTTCCTTGTGTCTACTTTGTGGCCCTTGCAATGAGGAGGTCTGAGGAAGTTTTGGGCCTCCAACCCCACTACCACCAACCTGGGAAAATGAGGAGGCTTGTGAATGCCACACTGCAGCAGCAAGGGAAGCCAGGTCTGTCACCTCCAGAATCTGCAGCACCTTGGGAGCCTCCAGTTCACCTTTCCCTCCACTGAAGCTCAGTACTGGCTAAAAAGCAGGGCTGTTTTTCAGTTTCTATGTGAGTCCCATGGAAGAGGAGAGCAAAGCCAACCAGTGGGACACCCTGTTAGGGCGAGGGCTCAGGGCAGGGGCTGGCCAGTGGCAGCTTGCCTCCCCTCCTCCTCTTGGGTCACAATTACATCTGGAAGGATCCAGTAAGCTAGTTCCTACTGCAGTGTTCACAACCCGAGGGGCTGCTCCTCCTCCGAAAGGAATCTAGGTACCAGGGCAGATTGGGAGCATGTTGGACACGACTTCTTGTCACCCTTCACATCACGACAGGGGGTCTCCTGTTCCATGAATGGACAAGGCTGGCTCTACTGGGTGACCACCTGTGTTTACCGCCCTAAATAGACAAGAGTGAGGTCCAGTGCCAGGACCAGGGGAGGCCACCAGGCATGGAGAGCTGGGGAGTGGCCTAAAGCAAGATGACCCTGGGAGCCATTGGGAGTGACGTGATGGGGGAAGTGGGGGCGCACATGTGGGGTTGGAGGTAGGTGCTTTATATTCTTCTGTAATATAATCTATAGGCTCTGTGTTGTTGCTGTTTTCCCACATGCACATATTCACTCAGTTCACACATTTATTGAGCACCTAACATATACCAAGAATTGGAGCATAGATTACTTTTATAATTTGGAAAAGCAAACACTAGAGGGAAGAAGCAATAAATAACAGCAGGAGAAGCAGCCAATCAGCACCCCAAGTCACAAGCTGCTCTGCCTCAGGATCAGGTCAGGGTTCAGAGAACCCAGGAGCCATTTGGCTTCCTGCAGAGGCAGTGGCTAACATGGATTGGGTGCTTCCTGGGTGTGGGACACCTCAGAGCCTCTCGTGGATTTCATAGACTCCTCACAAGACCTGGTGAGGTGGGAACTCCTACCATGCCCAACTTAGAGATGAGTGACCTAGGCCTGAGGAAGATGGCCTAATTGGTCACTCAGCTGAAGAGCAACAGACTGTGGTAACTGCCACCTCCCAGCACACCTAGACTCAAGAGCCTGGCCTGCAGTTCTCTTGGACTCTAGATCTCCTACCTAGCTTAGAGCTCATGTGTCTGGTGGCCCTCAGCTGGCAGGCCATCTCAGGAAGTACTAGGGCAGGACAGGGCCTCAAAGTCTCCTGATTTACTTAGGATGGGAAGACCCCAACTTCAACGTCTACACACTACAGAATCAAAACCACCCACTGCATCCTAACTACATCATCTTCACTCTTGTGCCCTATTTAAAAATTAAGCAGAAACCAAGAAAAATTTGTTATATTTGCTTCCAGGGATCTCAGCTCAGACTGCCAGATGATGTTTAAGTGACTGAACAAAGCCTTTTTAAGACCTAGGGCTGAGGATGTCATTGAGTGGTAGAGCATTGGCCTGGCATGAATGGAGACCTTGGGTTCCAGCATCACTCCAAAACCCAGGGATGCTGGGTTTTATTTTGGGTAATAAAAATCTTCTAAAATTGATTGTGCTGATGGTGGCCAAACTCTTAATATACTAAAAGTCACTGAGTTGTGAAGGGTCAATTGTAACTTGTGTGATATGTGAATTATAGCTCGATAAAGATATTGGGGAAAGAGCAGGATGGCCCATGTGCCTGGAGCTACCCAGGCCCAGGCGAGTAGGTTGGCAGGGCAGTTGGCCAGAAGAGGGGAGGCTAAACACTTGAAGATGAGAAAATTGATCTCTGTTGGAGCTCTGAAGGGGCTACATCAAATGATGGAAAATATTATTATTTCGGAATCCAGAAACATATTGGACCATCACAGGATTTTCCCAGTTTTCTGTTTTACAAATACATAAAGATTGAAAAGTTTATAATCCAAAGTTACTTAGTGTGGACCTTGAAGATTGAAAAGAGCACATATAACGAGCCAGTTGATTTTGAGCAGTGGATTGAAGATAATGTTGTACACACAGGGAAGCTGTTTGAAAATAAAGAAATTGTGGCTCAAGATGGCTTTTCTACTTACCTAAGATTCATAATTATACCAGCCTTCAATCATTTTGCAGCTGTGCGTAGCATTTCTGCAGAGAGACTGGCAGTCTCAAATTTTTCTTGGTAATTATAATAAAATGCTCTTGCATAATTTTTAACATTATATTTGAACATGAAGTTGTCATTGATACATTTTATTAAAAGAATTTGTATTTAAAAAGTGTCAGAGAAAAAAAAATCAGTCACCATGGAGATAAAGGGTATGCATGGGACAATGACAACTGAGGACATTAATTGACATGGCTTCTGAGAACAGCTAGAACTTCAAGGTTTACGATCAAGATGGAAAGTTTGCTTCAGGGAACCAGCAATGAAGTAGCTTTGGGCCAATTTGCTGTCAGGCAGAGCCCTGGTTTCAGACTGCCAGATGATGTTTAAGTGACTGAACAAAGCCTTTTTAAGAGCAAAGTCGCTATGGTGTCCTGCACTCTAGACATCTAGTTTGTATTTATCGGAAAATGGGGAAATGTCACAGGAAAGTTAATTGGCCTCTGGGCGCAATAATGCTCACTACCAGGATTGCTAGAGAGGAGAGGTGGAGCCTGAAAGGCTGGTGGCTGGAAGGGGCTCATCTCCTTCACCTGGTCCTTTGAGGCCGTTGAACTGAGTATGGGGCATACTTTGGAATTCATTGTGCTGCTGCTAGGCAAACTCTATTTGCAAGAAAGAACAGTTCAACTAGGAATTTCTAGGCCTATAATAACATGTGACTCAAAATAACTAGTGGGAATTCTTGGCAGAGTTAACATTTTATTGAATCTCTTTCATGCACACACAGGCCCAGGCACATATGCCTTGTGATGTTGGCTTCTTGTCCTATCAGAGTCCTCTCCGTGCTGAAGCTGGGAAGACATGAAGGTCTGATGCCCAGAGTGGACAGCACTCGAGGCCAGGATCGGAGGCATCCCTGTGTGTTCTTCAGCTCCCGTCTACCCCAAGAAGGCGCTTGAGGAAAACTGCCTTCAAACTGGGGCCTGAATCTCTCCTCAAATGCTGTCTTGAACCTCAGACCTTCAGGTACACAGCAGCACACGTTCCCTGTCCCCAAAGGGCCTGCCTAGATCTCCACTGCCTTCCCTCCCCGCCCCACACCGCACCTCACTCTGCACCCCCCTGCCCAGTGCTTCCTGAGCTCAGGGCTTCAGCCCAGGGTCCAGGCAGGCAGCCCTGAGGAATGCTGGGCCACAGCCCTCCCACTGACAGGTGGCCAGTCAGTGAGCTCAGGATTCCAGACTCTTCTCCCTGCTGAATGCTGTTAGGTTTCACATCACACGCTCTATCCTGTCTGCTTTTAAAACTGATCTGAGGTGACTTCCAGGCATGTCTGGCACACAGTCCCCTCCCCTGCAGGGCACCAGCTCACCTTTCATGAAAGGCGTCCCCAGCAGGCCTCTGGGCTGCTGTCCCAGCTCCCAGCCTGGCCTACAAGGTTCTCTCCACCCCGAGCTCTGGCTTCCTCCCCATCCACATCTCTCCTGCCCCCCCCCACCAGCACTCACCCCCCAGGCTGCTCCCTTCCCTGGGACTGTGACATTCCCCCAAACCAGCTTCTCCCTGGGCCAGGGCCCTGCCAGGCCTCTCTTCAGTCTTTATACCTTGTTCCTTCATCCCCATTCCACGCTTGCTAATTTTTGGTTCTCACTAGATGTTAAGCTCCTTGGTGGCCAAGGCCGCGGCATGTGCAATATACTTTTGTATCCCAAATGCCTGGCACACAGTAGGTGCCAAATAAATGCTGAATGAATCAATGAATGACTCATCCACAAGTTCCTGGGAATGGGTTGTGACTTCTTATGGGGACACAAGATGGTCACATAAAGAAAAGTTAAGGAGGGGTACTGGGATCAGAATCAGGATGTCTACATTTTATTCTCCTTAATTTATTTTTGAGACAGGATCTTGCTGTTACACAGGTTGATCCTGAATTTCTAGGCTCAACTGATCCTCCCATCTCAGCCTCCCAAGTAGTTAGGACCACAGGGACATGCCACCATGCTTGATAAGACACCTACATTTTAAAGGCAGATGCTTCACACACACACACACACACACACACACACACATACATAAACACCCACATGCACACGCATACCCTCTCAAGGCATGGGAGGACATGGGAGGCCCTAGGAAGCGGCCTGCTATTCTGTAGCAGACCTCTCTGACTCCACACTGTCCCAGCCAGAGTTCTTTTGGAGATCTTGGAAGAAAAGCTGCTGCTGGAGGCTCCTCAGGTCCTGCAGAAGCTCAGGAGGCAGCTGCTCAGCTGACTTCCCTAGGTCCTTTTCTTCCTCCTCCTCCTCCTCCATTTCCCCAAGCCCATCAGGGGGCTGTGGGGAGCTCCTGGAGATGTAGCCTTGGTCCGACTGCACGGACTGCCGCTGCTCCTCCTCACAGGGTATGGAGGGGTCCTTGAGGACCAGGGCAGCATCTTCCCATGCACCCTGGGCCTGGCTATTCAGACTCTGCTGCAGAAGTGAGAGCATCAAGCCCTCCAGCTGCTCCCTCACACCATTGGGGAGGTGGCCAGGTGAAGCCACTGGAGTGCTGCAGAGAGGCGAGTCCTCAGGGTCCATGGGGAGGAAGAGGATGTTCTTTCTCTGGAGGCCACGATCCTCCAGCAGGGGGCAGGCCTCGCCCTCCTCCACCAAGGTCAGCCGGCTGGCCTTGCTGCTGTCAGCAAGAGGAACCAGCTCCACTGCACAAGCAGCAGGGACCTGCTCTCTGGGGAGCACCACAGTTTGGATGGCCTCCCCCTGGGGCTGCAATTGGGGTACCACCCTCGACATTCCCCTTCCTTCCTCACCCATGCATAAATCTACCATCAGGCAGCCCTCGGAGGCAGGTTCCCGCACCAGGGGCTTCTGCCTGACAATCCCGCTCCCTGGCGGCAGCAGTGGCTCCTCAAACACTTCTTCGTCCAGGGATGGGAGGTTCTGGTCATCAGTGAAGCAAAGGTTCTCACGTTCAAACCAGTCAGGGCACTGGGTCTGCCATTCCCGGAACTTATCCACGGCCTCCTTGAGCTGCCAGCCACTGGGGCTCTGCAGGTAATTTTCCCCTGTGAGCTCCTGGAGGCGGTGCATCCGGCCAGGTTCAAACATCTCCAGGTCCTGGATCTGGAAGTAAACCTCCTCTAGCTTGTCCATAAGAGGGTACCTGGAGGTGATGTTGAAGAGGTCAGGGACATCGTTCTCACTGCTGATGCCAGTGAAGTAGCAGATGATGTAGGTGCCAAAGCAGGCTGGCTTCTTGAAGTCTGGCAGGATCATGTTCATGGCCGCTGTGAAAAGGTCCCCAGCGGGCTTCCAACGGTCACACCACAGCTGGGTGGTGGGTTCATCCTCCCTCAGCCTCCTGAGTAGCTGGGATTATAAGCATGCATCACCAATGTCAGGCAGGATGATGACTTGGAGTTGTTTACCACTTCCTGCTTCTGGTTGCCCACCAAGGTCATGACCCCTACTTCTGAGATGACCTGTTTTTCCAGGAGGTTGAGGGACATTTCAGCACCACAGGGGCTGATCAGAAACAGAGAACTTTATTAATTTGTTTTCTCAGCATTTTTTATTGGTTCTTTTCAGTTATACATGACAGTAGACTCCATTTTGATAAAATTATATAAGCATGGAATATATCTTATTCTAATTAGGACCTCATTCTTGCGGATGGGCATAATGGTGGGATTCACTTAGATATTTTCATATGTATATATAGGAAAATTATGTTAGATACATTCTGTTTTTCCTATTCCTATCCCCACTCCTTTTCCTTCATTTCCCCTTTGTTTAATCTACTGAACTTCTCTTCTTCCCCCACCCCTTTATTGTGGTTTAGCTTCCACATATTAGTGAAAACATTTGACCTGTGGTTTTTAGGAACTGGCTTATTTCATTTAGCATGATAGTCTCCAGATCCATCTGTTAACTGGCAAATGTCATAAAGCCATTCTTTATGGCTGAGTAATATTTCATTTGTGTATATAGGCCAAAATGTCTTTATCCATTCTTCTGTTGAAGTGCACCTAGGTTGGTTCTATAGCTTAGCTATTGTGAATTGTGCTGCTATAAATATTGATATGGCTGCAACACTGTAGTGTGCTTATTTTAAATCCATTGAAATATATACTGAGGATTGGGATAGCTGGGTTATATGGTGGTTCCATTTCTAGTTTTTGAGGAATCTCTATACCACTTTCCAGGGTGGTTGTACTAAGTTGCAGTCCCATCAACAATGTATGAGTGTATCCTTTTTCTTCCACATCCTTGTCAACATTTATTGTTGCTTGTATTCTTGATAATGGCCATTCTGACTGGAGTGGGATGAAATCACTTCCATTTTAATTTGCATTTCTCTAATTGCTAGAGATGAACACTTTTTCATATATTTGTTGATCATTCATATTTCACAGGTCATTGTGAAGTGTCTGTTTAGTTCCTTTGTCCATTTCTTGATGGAGTTTTTTTGTTTTTTGGTGTTAAATTTCTTGATGTTTTTTTTTTTTTTTTTTGCATATCCTAGAAAATAATGCCCGGAGGTACAGGTGGCAGATTTTCTCCCATTCCATAGGCTCTCTTATTACACTCTTGTTTCCTTTGCTGGGAAGAAGCTTTTTTGTTTGATGCCAGGGATGATTTTTAAATTTTATTTCTTGTGATTTAGGAGTTTTGTTAAGGAAGTCAGTTCCTAAGCCAATATGTTGAACCTCAACAACACACCCCATTGACACCACAGTGGAGGAAATGTTGGAGATGAAACTTAGAAAGTTCATGGTTAAACTGATCTCTGAGGTAAAAGATGATGTAAGAAATGAAAATAGAGAGAAAATACAAGAAGTGAAAGATCATTTCAATACGGAGATAGAGATTCTGAAGAAGAATCAATCAGAAATCCTTTAAATGAAGGAACCAATAAACCAAATTAAAAATTTGTTGGAAAGCATCAAAAACAGGCTACATCACTTGGAAGACAGAGTTTCAGAAAATGAAGACAAAATATGTAATGTAGAAAACAAGGTTGACCATGGAGAAAAGATATAAAAAGACCATGAATAGAGCAAAACAATTTTTTTGCATATTTTTTTTTTGCATATCCTGGAAAATAATGCCCTGAGGTGCAGGTGGCATTTAGATATAAATTTAGAGGTAAACCAATTTAGAGGTAAACCAGTGTACCATTTAGAGGTAAACCAATCTGGATCTTGACTGATTTTTCATCCAAGTTCAGGGACATTGATCCTAAAAGCTAGGAGGTCCTGAAGTAATACATACCAAGCTCTGGAAGAAAATGGATGTGAACCAAAAATAGTATGTCCAGCAAAATTAAGCTGAAGATTTGAAGTGGTGGGCCAGGTAGTGAGCTGGGTGAGCCAGGAGGGTCAAGTGGGCTAGGGGAGCTAGTAGAAACGGTGACCTTTAGGAGCACGGTCACGTAGAGTGGATGGTGAGCTCCTCAGATGCGCCAGACTTTCCCAGGGATCAGGGATTGGGAGGGTCAGTTCATCGGCAGCGACATCTAGGGAAAACAAGAGAAGCAAGGCCACATGCTTGATCCTCACACCCAGGCTCCAGGTGGAGACCCTGCTGGCCAGTCTGTGAAGGACCTGGACCCAGTGCAGAGATTGACTCCCTAGCCTAATAAATGCAACCATTTCTTAGGCCATTGAGGATAAGCCATTGGGGATAAGCCAAATGTTGCTTATTTGGGATGCCTGAAAAAAATCAGCTTGGTGTCTCTCTCTCTCACAATCCTATCTGCCCTTAAGTTGATCCTTTAAACATTTTAATTGGAAAAAAGGGGCACAAAGACTTGGCTATGGAATAGAGGTGTCTGCTCAGGGAAGGACCTTTTTTTTTTTTTTCACATAATGCAATAGATTCAACATCCTTTCCTTGTCTGATTGAAAACACGGTATACCAGAACTTTCTTTTTGGGTGGCCTGAAAAGCCCTCTATGTGGAGTGGTGGAAGATGGGTCCAAAATGTGGGTCTCTTGAAGGGACTCAGAAACCACAGCGTACATCTGATGTAACCCATGCATCTATCAGAGTTTGTTTATTTATTTATTTATTTTTCCTAGCCTTGCATAGCTAGGAAAGCACTCTACCATTGAGCTACACTTCAGTTCCCAAGCTAGAAATTTAGACTTTAATTTTAATCCTCACTCTTAGGGATTCACCTCAGAACTACCAGAAGACACTCTGATAACTACTGAGGATTTTCCTGGGATAGACGGCAATTCAGGAAAGTCACAAATGCCATAGCAGCTGGTGGTATAGTTCAGAAGTATGTGTCTCCTCCTTAAATTAAAACCAAACCAAGGGGCTGGGGTGTAGCTCAGTGGTAGGGAGCTTGCCTCACAAGTGTGAAACAACTTCCCAAATGACAGAAGAAACAGCCTAGAGTCACAGTGGGGCAGGGAAAAACTGAGTCTCCTAACCTGTGACACATGTTCTCCTTGACTGGCATTTGACCAACAGAGGAGTGCACAGGGAGAAGGAACTGCTATGTACTGATGCCCACCAGCAGGTACCTTTCTTGGTATCTCATTTAATCCCAACAAAGCCCTGGGAGAGGCATTACTATCTCATTCTATAGAAAAGAAAATGGAACCAAAAATGTGTTAAGTAACTTGCCTATAACTGCAAAGCTGGTGAGTACAGCAGGGTCTACAGTTGTGGGTTCAGGGTCCAGAGACTGAGATTTCTCTATCACATGCTGCCGTGCCGTGTTATTCTCCCTGACCATGTACACACAAGTCTGAGGGCCACAGGATGGGGTTGTTCAGCTGTTCCATCTGCCTGGTGGATCAATCCTGATGCAGGGGAATTTTCTCTAGTTTCTTCAAACCCATTGATTTTTCAATAATACTATTTTTAATAATGATATAACTGGCTAATAGCTCTTAAGCAAATATCATGTGCCAGGTTCTGGGCTAAGAATTTGTGTGCATTATTCCACTTAGTCCTTTTAATAGCCTGATGATGTGGGTATCATTATCATTGTCATTTTATAAAAGAGGAACCTGAGGCACAGAGAATTAAGTGATCTTCCCAGATAGTGGTGAAGCTGGTCTTTGCGTCCAGGTTCAGCCAGACACCTCATTCTAGGTTCCTGACCACTGTGGTTTAAGAGAGGCAACTATAGTTACTGAGACTGAGATTACAGAGCTGGATTGAAGGGCACCCTGTGAGCACAGACTTACAGAGAAGGTCTAGGGGTAAGGCTGATGCTGGAAGGAGAAGGAAGGACAGAGGGGAGAAGTGAGGATCAAAGGGGAAGCCCCCCCCGCCAGTCCCAGAGTCTCTGACACTTACCATGTTGCCTCCAAGTTGTGCATTTGGTCTTCAGGAAGAAGACGAAGCCCACCAGCACAACAGAGATGCAGCCAAACACCCACAGGGATTTATAATCTGTGGTGAGCAGAACAGCGTGAGTGACAGGCAGGGGTCCCAGCGCCATTCCCCAGTCCCTGGCTCTGTCCTCTCTGGCCTGCACCAGGACACATTGAGCCTCAGGTTCAGCCTTGTCTGCCTGGCTGGGTACAAGGCTCAGTCAGGAACTCCTCTGACCCCTGGGGAATGTGGGAAAGGGTCTGAGCTTACCTGCAATTGTGACTGCAATTAGAACAAAAGAAAAAAGAGAAAAGAGTGTTCTTAATTATTAGCAGTAATTATAAAACCCATCACTCATGTCCACGGAGGGCCTAACCCTAACCCTATACCCAGTACTTTGGATATGGGTCAAACTTAATGCAGCCACCTACACGAAGCACCCTCAGTTGTTGGTCTAAGAAGAGGTGCCTCACCTCCCACCCGGGAGGCCAGGTCTCTTCCAGCCTGTGCCATGTCTGCTGTTGTGCAGTTGGCATGTGGTGATGGCTTTGTGGGAGTTGGGGACCCATGGCTTCTGAAGGAGAAGTAGGCAACTGGCTCAGGTAGGAAGCTGGGGCTCTCCACCACCTTAGCATGTGATCTGGAACAAGCTATTTAACATCTCTGCCTCAGTTTCCTCATCTGTGAGCCTGGGGTGGGGAGTCTCAACTTCACCATACTGTGACTTGCAATTTGTAAGAAGTAAAGCACTTCCATTTTATTGGTGCCTAACTGTAACTGTGTGCTAGTAACAACCCCATCTTCCAGTCAAGGAAGTTAAGGACAAGGAAGCCACAAACTCTGCCCAAGGCCACACAGCTTATGAAGGGCTGTGGGGAGTGAAGCTCAGGAGAGTGTCCTCAAATTAAGTCACCCTCCCCACCTCTCCGCCACACCTAGGACCAGGTCAGGACTCAGCTCCAGGGGATGACCTTCACCCAAACTCACCCCAGACAGACACAACCCAGGGCAGAGGTGTCCCTCCTACCTGAAGTCTCTGGAACGTCTGGGCAGGGGATGGTCATGGTGTGTCTAAGGCAGTCATTAAGGCAGCTGTTGAAGAAGGGCTGGACCTGGGAGAGAAGAGGAAGAACTGGAAGAGGGCCTCTGAGAGGTGGCAACATACACCCATCCCCATGCTTTCTCAACAGCACGGGCCATTTGCAAGTAATGGACCCTGGGTGGCTAGGCCAGATCTCCATGTGGCTGTTGAGCTGGGCGTGTTGGCGCTTGTGTGTAGCCCCAGCTACTCAGGAGTCTGAGGCAGGAGGATCATCTGAGCCCAGGACTTTGAGTCCAGCCTAGGCAACGTTAAAACACTCTATCAAGAAACCCAAAGATCTTTCCAGGGGCTGCTGAACCAGATCTCCTATCTGTGCAATGGGTCAAAGGTCCCCTGCCCAGGTGGGGTTGGGAGAACAGGGCAGCTGAAAGGCAGGCTGGTGCCTTCCCTGCCAGGGCATTACAGGCAGAACGGTGCTGGGGCCCGATGCAGCGCAGGCCCACAGCTGCCCTTGCTTACCTCGCCCCCTGGCAGGAAGGCCCACCTGTGCACACTCTCCCACACCTGTGTGCATCATGCCCACCCACCTGTACTCGGTGGCGACAGCACCAGTTAGAGCTGTGTAGCGGGAGAGTGAGGTTGGCTCGCTGGTGGAATTCCTCTTGTTTGGGCTGCAGAGAGGAGGACGGAAAAGGCCAGTTGGATATGAACTTGTTGCATCACATCCCCAAGAAGCTTGGGGACATCACCCTCATGGACCAAATGCACTTCTCAGGAAGGCCAGAGGGGGAAACGCTTTTCAGATTTCTATTCCAGAAAAATCGACCATTCTGCAGGGCGAGTGGTTTGCTGTCAACTGATAAACACAGTAGTAACTCGTATTTCCCCCCCGCGTGGCTGCTGGGGACTATAGGACACATCTGTGTTCACACCCAGAGGGGGACAGACCACACAGCACATCTTTTCTGCACTAACCTGGCTTCATCTTATTTCTTATCTGTAGGACCCCTTTGTCTTAATCCCCACATTTCTTCTTCTTTTTTAATCTTCAATCCTTTTTGGAGTCAGGCTCAGTGGCTCACACCCAGCCACTGAGGTAGTCCCAGCAACACAGGAAGCAGGAGGTCTTCAAGTTCGGGGCCAGCCTCAACAACTTAGCAAGGACCTAAGCAACTTAGCAAGACCCTGTCTCAAAATCAAAAAGGGCTGGGGATGTGGCTCAGTGGTGAAATGCCTCTGGGTTTAATCCCCAGTGTACACACACACACACACATAAATCCTTTTTGGAATCAAATAGAATAAAAACAGCAAAATAGAGAATAAGGGGAGAATGGGGGAAAGAAGAACAAAAAGGACAGGGGGTGGTGGGCAGGGCAGAATTGACTCTATTTCATCAGCTAAAAGATGGAAAGAAAGACCAACTCTACAGCTCGCTGGGCGCCCAGGCCACTCCTGACTTGGCAGTGTTGGGCTCTGGAGCTATGTCAGAGGGGTGACCATTACCGCAGGTATCTGCTGTATGTGCTCGAAGCAGCTGTGGTCCTCCATGTGTGGAAAACTGTTGAGCAGGATCTGGTAATGGGAGGATTCGTTCCACAGCGTGAAGCTCACCCGCAGCTGGTGGGCCTCCAGGGTTTCCACGGTGATGTTGGGGTCCCACAGGCTGCCTGTCAGGGGCGCAGATGTGGGCTGGGAGTGAGAAGGGGTGTGCACGCCCATGTGTGTGCACGTGCATGTGTCTGCATTGGGTACAGTTCTCCCAGGCCAGCCAGTTACCTGAGCTCACACATGGTGTGGTTATCTTCATCCTGAAGTCCTCACAATCTGCCAACCCAGAAAGAGAAACAATTAAGCCTCTGCCTCAGGAAGTCTTCTCTTCCAGACTCTGGGCAACAGCAGCCAAAATCATGTTCCTTGGGAAGACTGTTCAAAGACGGTCCCTTTATAGCAAGCTCCAGGACTGGACTGCTGCCACTGGCCAAAGATCCAGTGTATTGGCAGTGACCTGTCCATCTCAGCCCTTCTCTCTCAGAGAACCTTCCTGATTCTAGTATATGCCTCCTGAGCTCACTTTGGGTAGCCACAGTCTTGCTCCTTCTAGTTCTTTCTCTCCCCACCCGGAGCTTCCTGGCCCACAGATGCCTCTGCCTTTTTATAGGCTAAGAAGTACTTTGGTCCCCACAGAAGATTCTCAAGCTTTTGTGGCTATCATCATCACTAGTTCCTCATTCAGCAGATCTGTGTGGGTGCCGAGAATCTGCATTTCTAACAAGTTCCCAGACAATCTGTTGATGCTGCTGGTCCATAGATCACACTGAGGATCACTGCCCAACAGTGATATTCTTGGTCCCTTGTTATGGTTTAGATATGAGGTGTCCTCTAAAAGTCATGTGTGAGACAATGCAAGAAGATTTAGAGGTAAACTGTTGGGCTATGAGAGCCTTAACCCAATCAGTGAATCAATCCCCCCCAAAGGGATTAACTGGGTGGGAAGCAAAAGCAGGTTGTGGCTGGAGGAGGTGGAGCACTGGGAACATGGGGCGCTGAGGACGTGCCTTTGCAGTTTATATTTTGTCATGAGAAGAGCTCTGCTTCCTGGGCACTGTGTGTTTAGCTGCTTTATTTTGCCACACTCTTCTGCCATGATGTCCTGCTTTATCTCAGGCCCTGAGGAACAGGCAGTCACCTATGGACAGTACACTGAAACTGTGAGTCCAAAAATAAAATTTTCTTCCTCTAAATTATTCTTGTCAGGTCCTATAGCAGCAAAAAAGCTGACTAAAGCATCGTCTTCTCCAATCTCCTTGATTGTAATGCTTTTACTTTGGCTTAAAAAGACACGTGGCAAGTTTGAACTACCTTAGAGGGACAGGATGAGTCAGTCTACTTTAGGAACAGGAGGCGGGGTGGGGAGATTTACTCATTCAACAAAGACCTATTGCGTCTACTACAAGCCCTGCACTATCCTGGGCACTGGGCACTGAACATACACACTGTGGTAGGTAAGACAAAGTCCCTGCCCTCTGGAGATGACACTGAAGAAGAAAAGCCCACTAAGAGCAAACCAAGAGCATGTATGAGAACAATGTCAGAAAACAGTGACTATCATTGATTCACTGGGGTATGTGTGTGTGTTTGTAAAAAGAGGGTCATCACCACTTTCAAGCATTTTCTGGGCTGGGGGAGGAGTGCGGTGGGCTGTGCTTGCCTAGCACACCCAGGGCCCTGGCTTAGATCCTTAGCATTAAAAAAACCCAAGCATTTCCTGACCAGGCAATTTATGAGGTTCTGGACAGTACAGAAGTGTGGAAGACTCAGACCTTGTCCTCAGCGGGCTGAGGTTCTAGATGTACCTGGCTTTGAACAAGAAATGTAGGAAATGGCTGAGATTCAGGGGAGGACAGAGGTATAGAAGGTGACATAGATAGAAGGTGTCCAGTATGCTTTAGAAGATAGACTTGGCAGTGATCCCAGGCAGGATGGGTCAGTGAGGGGAGAGAAGAAAGTGGGATAATGGAGATGGGTGGGACAAATGCAGACAGGGTGTGTGTTGGGGGGGGGGCGGGAATGAAGAATGTGACTGGAACTAGGCTGAGAGCAGGATCCACCGCTCTTCCCAGCGTGACTTATCTTCCTGACATTTTCTGGGCTCGAGCTAGTTCTCTGGATAGAGGGAAGGGCTCTTATTCCCATCACACTCCTGGGATCCTGGGCCCATATCCAGTGTTGGCCAATTAAGAAGGGGCTGCCTTCAAGGGGTGGAGGCTGAGCCTCACGCTGAGGAGCTCCCAGACCCGGGCGCCTATTCTTTCTGTGGGTACCACATGCTGGCGATAAGCCCTGGTTGAACTCAGCAGGGAGGCTGCTGTCTGCCCCTGCTGCCAGCTTCTCATCCCAGAGTTGAATGATGGAGGAAATGGCTTAGGAGGAGGCTCTTACCTGGCACAAGGAGCTTCTTGGACAGGTGGTTTGGGTCCCCGTCAGGGATGGGCTTGGGCAGGTGGTGAACAGTCACCTCGTACTCCTGGCCGGGTTCTACCACAAAGTGGCTGAAGGCGAAACGCCACTGAAGAGAAGGGAGGAGGGGAGGTTGGGTGGGTCACACACACCTGTCGTCCATCTGGGCCCACAGGATCCCATCCCTACCTTCTCCCCAAACCAGTCAGAAGTAGGAATAAAACAACCACCACAGCAGAATCTGAAACTGGAGGCACAGTGTCTTCCTCTGTTTTTCTCTGGTCTTTCCTGCCTGTTTTAAGAAACCTCGGCTGGCCTCATCAGTAGAGAGCATTGTCAAATGCAGAGGAGGAGGGCAGAGGCTGGGGTGTGGCTCAGTGGTAGAGCAGGAGCTCAGAGCTCAGCAAGCACAAAGCCCTGGGTTCCACCCCTGGCACCCAAACAAAACAGAACAAAACAAAAGCCCCTGCAGAACATCTGGTGGACAGTGGAAGCAGCCCTCCCCCTCCCATCAGCTCTCTGGAATTCCCGAACAATGGGCGTAAGTGACCTGAGCTGGAGGGCTTGAGGCTATTGGACCTGGAACACAAGAGGCAGCTATATACTGTTCACTGACTCTTCCTCTTACAAGGCATAGTGGGGGGTCTCTGTGGAGAATGTTCTGAAGCACATAAGAGCAGAGGGAGAGCTAGAGATCCCTCTCACCCTGGGTCTGCAGTGAGATACATTTGTACTGAGCTACCTTCCAGATAGTACAGATATAGAATCCAACTCCTTTTTTAAAAAAAATTTTGAGAGATAGGGCCTTGCTGCATTGCCCAGGTTGCCCTCACACTCCCGGCCTAGGTGATGCTCCACCTCAGCCTCCAGAGTAAACCCCATTCTAATGACCTGGTGGAGGGGGCTGGGGGGTCCTTTGCTTCTAAGTAGATCAAGGCACCAGGTCCTTGCCCTCTACATAGCAGCCAAGTTTGGGGTCCTCACTTAACATTGAGGGGGGCTCTGCCTTCAGTGCTTATGTCTTTGGCAGATCTAATTTGTTTTAAAGCAATCATCTGCAAATTTAAACCAGTAGTTTTTCAAACTAGCACCTATATCAGGTCATACAGAGGGTCCTTAAACACCAACAGCTGGGCCTCACCCTCAGAGATTTTTGTTCAGGAAGTCTGGGATGGGGCCAGAGAACACGCATTTCTAACAAGTTCCCAAGGGTTGCTGATGGTCCAGGGAACAGCTTTGGGAGTCACTGCTTTCAACTAACTACACAAGACCAACATTTTATCCTCCAGCTGTGAAAAGCAAAACCAGACCAAACTGTTAAGACTCATCTGCTTGCACCCCACCCACAGCAGGTCTTTGGTCCAGGTAGTTTTTCCTCTTGGAGGCAGGCCCAGGATCAGTTCAAGTTACAGACCCAGGAGATGGTGTAACAAAAGCCCACTTCACCTTTTAAATATAGCCCTTGCTGCTTATTTTAAAAGGGACATGTTTTTCTTTTCCTCTTTTCCCCTCTCCCCTTCCCTAACCTACCTGCAAAGGAAAGGTTACCTTGAGTTATCAGTCCTCCACAGGAAGGAGATGTCACTGGAAGATCTAGGAAGTGACTATGTCCCAAATTAACAAGTGAATTTCAACACACCTCAGGGAACACCTGGGAGATCCTGCCAGGCACATCTGAAATGCAGTCTTTGAAAAGCTTCTTCCAAAGCCCTCTGTTTTCCCCTCGGGCAGAACCCAGAATGAGTCTCCTGTGTTTCTCCTTTGCTAGCAAAGCAATAAACCTTCTCTTTCCTTTTCTCAAAACCATGTCTTCATTATTAAATTGACATGAATTGGCATTAGGGTCAAGGACCAAGCTTCCAGGAACAGTAGGACTGTAGAAGTGGTCTTCTAATTCAACTTCCTTTAGGAATGAATAGCTAAGGGGCTGGGGCAGCTCAGTGGTAGGGAGTGTGCTTAGGATGCATAAGGCCCTGGGTTCTGACCCCAAAATCAAAATAAAATAGAATCAAACAAATAAAAACAATGAATAACTGGGTAAAGTTGGAGAAAAAAAGCAGGGATGGGCACATCAGGATCTGTCTCCTAGTATGGCTCACAGCAGATACCACATCCCCCCTGGAGGCAGCCATCTTGAATTCCTCAGACCCCCACCCCCATCCTGTTAGCACCGTCTCATCCAAATCTGGGGACAAATCTGTACTGGTACCTCAGAAGAACGCAATCCACTCAGGAGCTGTCTTCTTACCTGCTTGTAACGTTTAAGTTTGGACAGAAACTCAAACTCGACACACAAATGTTCATTGGTGTTTAGCTGCAGGACAGACAACTTTGCACCCTTGGGGGAGAAGAGGCCAGCTGAAGTCGGAGGGAGGAGAGGAGACAAACAGATGCAGCTGCATAAACCACTGGGTGTGCCACTTCCCTATCTGCTAGGCTTGCTCACTCCTAAAGGAAAACCTGCCCATCTCGCCTAACCCCCCACTTCCTGTTCCTTGCAGCTCACTCTCTGCCTCAGCCTACCACCTTTCAGACAGCTGCCACCCAGCTAGGTGAGGACAAGTGGCACTTTACACCAGACCAGCAGCAGGAGCTGTGCAAACTTGCGTCTCACAGCAGCCATCTCCACAATTCTTGCAGAGAAGGAGCAGCGAGCCTGTGGGCTGGGGACTCAGAGGGAACCAATCTGGTGCCTGTTCACTCTGGGCTGGCTTGTTAATAGCTTCCCAAATCTGTGTTGGCCTCTAAGTTAAGGGAAAAAACACGGGCAAATGTGCTATCATTTTTCCAGATATAAATATTCCAATTGTAAACATCTGGAATTGTTCATGAAATTAACTACTTGCCTTTATTTTCTTTCAGGGTAATAAAATTTTAGGCAAAGTAAAGTCTTCCATGAAGGATAGTGTGATTTTGCTGTGGGCTTACCTCTAAGACAGTGAAAAGGTATTGGCAGAACGATTGATGGGTCCTTCCAGCACTGAATTGCAGCCTTCATGTCTGAGCACAGGACCAGAGCCTAATTCTGAGTCTGAATGGGAGGTGATGTCTAGCTGTGGATTCACTTGGACGTGGTGGGACCCCAGGGCCTGGCTGACATGCCCACTCACCATCTGTCTGCAGTGTCCATTCGATGTGCACCACAGGGACCAGGTCTCCCTGCTGGGTTCTGGCAAGGCGCAGTTGGATCTGGACATGTTTTGGATAGTTTGGAGTTAGGTTCTGAGGATGGATCCAGCTGTCATCCAGGCAGGTACCTGGTAGCCAGGGAGAAGCAACAATCAGAGATGGCACCCTTCCTATCCCCAGGAGGCCCAGAGAGCTAGTTCCTGAATGGTTCAGGGCCTGTGACCTTCCAGCTTGCGACCCCCCCTGGGGTCCTACTCTTTCTGATCTGGGGTAACCACAAAGCTCTGAGTCTAAAGGGCAATTTGGGAAGATAGGTTTTGAGTAGAAGCAGGAGTTGGAAATGGGGCACAGGATCATAGGCAGTGGTTAGAGCTGATTTTTACATGTCGGGGTCCCTAATCAGCACAGACACAAGAAGTATGTGCCTCTTCCTTGAATGAAACCAAGCCAAGCAGCTGGGGATGTGGCTCAGTGGTAGAGGGCTTGACCAGCTTATGTGAGGCCTTGGGTTCCATGCCCAGCACCAAAAAAACAAAACAAAACCAGGCATCATGGTGCACTCCTCTAATCCCAGCAACTCAGGAGTCTGAAACAGGAGGATCACTAGTTCCAGGCCAAGCATAACAACTTAGTAAGACCCTATCTCAAAAAAAAAAAAAAAAAAACTGTACTGGGATGTAGCTCAATGGTAAATGCCCCTGGGTCCAATTCCCAGTACCAAAAACCAAAACCAAACCAAATCAACTAACACCATAGACCACAGCCATCTTACTTTATTTACAGTGAAAGTCATGGCAGACCAAATTGTCTTAAAGGTACCCTAGGGCAGCACATCAGAGAATACTTTCAAAATCCAGATGACAGCAGGGTTTCTCACGCCCAACTTCTGCATGTGAATGTTCTCCATAGGAAGCACAGGTGCCCACACCTGGGGCGTGGCCTGAGACCACCACAGCCTGAACTTGTAGAGGGGCTGCAGATCTGCCGCCAGAAATAGCACAAGCCAATCACAGTATTAACAAAGTAACAAGAGGACAAAAAAAGAGGACTTACTGTTCTTGACTCTGCAGTTTAGCCCCTGTGGAAAGAAAGAAGGTGGTAATTACAGCAGAAAGAACTTAACCTATGCACTGCTAGACTCCAGACACCTTCCCAAGCTCATTTTTGGGGATAAAACTTACACAGCTCTCCCTTTCCACATTTGGGGATCTCTCTGGGGGGTCTTTTTCCCACCTTTCTTTCATCCTGGCCAACCAAGGGGAAGGGGCATGATAGATGGCAAAATGAAAGTGGAGATTTTATGAGTAACTGTTAGAAGCTGGGAACTTTACAACTTTAAAAGACACTGAGAGGTTTGCCTTGGGGCACCCTAGTGAAAAAGTCCCCAAATCTCTGGAAGCTTCCAAACTTTGGGAGCGGTAAAAGCCAAATCATGAGTCCTGAAGCAGATCAGTTATGGGAAATCCTCTAAGTCCCTATAAACTTACTAGAAATGTGGGGGGCTTGGGATCCAACCCAGGGCTCAGTAAATGAAACCATTCTCCTGAGGAGTGACCTCCACGTGTTCCATTAAAGGTCACGGACTAGGTTGAATATTTTCTTTTCCTTTTCCTCCCACCATATAAAAATTATAGGAAAGGGAAAATTTTTCCAAATTCTGAAGGACAAAGAGGCAACCTCAGTGGGCAAAAGATGTGAACAATTTTAAAAGTCAAAACAGAAGGAGAAGGGGGTAAATAGCTTGGGCAACAGAGGAACTCATGTCTGAAGGCTGCAGAATGGAGTGCAGGTCCCCCTGGGGAATGTAGGAACCTGTCCTTGAAGCCAGATTTAAAGATAGGTAGGTAGCGTAGATAGGTAACTCGGATCTAATATGGAGTCCAATAAAGAAAATGAAGTCAGGATGTGAGCCCCGGGAAAACCAGAACAACACGTGGGAAACTGAAATATTAATGTCCCCAAGGCCTGTTAATAGAGCAGCTCCCAGCAAAACAGAGAGATGCTAATCAAACCACCCTAGGCCCTTCCTGCTCAGATCATTCCTTCCCTCCCCAAAGGTCCACCAGTTTCCCACCTTTTAGCCTTCCCACCTACATCCCCCATCACACAGAGGAGAGAGGGAAATAAAGGTCAGGAATGTGGGAAGACAAAAGAAGACGTTAGGTATAAAAGGGAGAAGACCTTCTCTTTCAGGATTCTGCCTATCCTTCCCCTTCTTGGGGGGCAGGCGGGGTGGGGGGTTGGGGGGTGGTTGTCTTTTCTGCTATCCTTTAATAAAGCCTTTCACTTTCCACTCCACACTTGCCCAGGCCTGCTTCTCTGGTGTTATACTTCAGCATTCAGGGAAGCGAGGACTCGTCACGTCACGTCACGTAAACAGTTACATCCTGAGCTCAGACTGCTGGCAGTCAGGCCCAGAGGAAACACCTCCAGATTCCAACACATGACAGCCATCCAACAGGCCAGGCCCATCATCAGCCTGACCTCCCACACAATGATGTCCCCTGTCCTTAACCCCAAGTGCACAGGAGCACTCCACAAGCTTTTTAGTGTTTCTTCTTAAAATATTCTCAAGGAGGACCCAATAATTGAGATGGGTTTCCTGAATGAAAAATAGATCAAAACAGAATTTAAAAAATGCTCCTGGAGGGGTTGTGGCTGTGGCTCAGTGGTAGAGCTCTTGCCTAGCATGTGCAAGGCGCTGGATTCGATCCTCAGCACCACATAAGTAAATAAATAAGTAAGCAAATAAATAAATAAAATGAAGATATTGTGTCCAACTACAACTAAAAAAAATTTTATTTTAAAAAATGCTCCTGGAGGAAAGAAGATAATGCTTGGAACAGAATAAAATGAAAACAAACAAATGAAAGGAGAAGACACTGCGTTCATAAGACAAAGACAAGATGAATAATCAGAGAATGAAAATGATCCTGGAAAACAAAAAAAATTCAGGGGCTGCGGCTCAGTGTAGAGCACTTGTCTAGCATGTGTGAGGCTCTGGCTTCCACCTCCAGCACTGAAAAAAAAAATCACAAGGAGTGTTGGGCTATAAAATTAGAGAGATTTCTTTGAAGGTAGTGATACCGCTGGTTACGGGTGACAAGTTCTGCTCCCTCAAATGTTGAAGTTTGAAGCACGCTGAGGCAAGCATATAAAGGAGGGTTTATTTAAAAAGGGGTAACATAGACTTCTCTTGGGAGGGAGTAGGGGGACATGGCTGATATCCTGGTATTCCAAGAAGTGAGGTGTTCCACCCTTTTTATATGCCCTAGGCTTCCTTTGTTTTCTTTCCCTCTTCCTCTCATCTTTCTCCTTCCTACAATGTGACTAGGATGGCCAGGAAAGTGGGATGGCCAAAAGGTGGGAAACAGGTGGGCTGAAGGGGGAAGGGCAGGATGGTGCAGCCCAGAACACATTAACAACTTTATAGCTCCCTGTAGGGAGGGGCAATTCCTGGGACAGGTTATCTTAGCAACACGTTGGAGCAGGGGCAGGTTCTTGATAAGGGTGGAGGAAGGGCTCTGAAGGAATTAACATTTCAGTCCTGCAGGCCAGTCTCCAAAACTCACTCAAAATGGGCCTGACTCTATACTGACTGCCTGTCTAATTCTGGCTTCAGCAGAGCAAATGCAGATAGAAATAGAAGATAAACATGAAGATCAGAGAATCAATTTAGGAAATACAAAATATGATTAACTGGATTTCCCAAAAGAGGTTATGTAATACCAGATTCGTGGGACCCTAATAGACCTCCAGGAGTCAAATCCGATGCAATCACACAAGAGTCTTTATTGCAAGCTTGAGCCTGGACTCACAACAGTTTCCGACACAGCGGTCACAGGGAGTGAGTCTGGGTCCTTTGTTCAGTGAGATTTTATAGGTTTTGGGGGGATACTCTATGTGTCACAACATCACACAGCAAATCATTTCACACCACGGGAAAGTCAAACTGTAGGGCACAGGCGAAGCGTCAGAGGGAGAGACCACCAAGAGACCACTCATGCAATTGGCAGAAGGGAATTTATTGATCCAGCATGTTGGGGCTCCGTGCCCACTCAAGAAGAGAAAGCAGCCCAGAGCCCCGAGCAGGGGCTGAGCACTGCTTAAGTACACTTTTTTGGGGAGGGCGGGGATTTTACATACATCACAGTCTCCTTTAACAAATCATCATACACCACGGGAAAATCAAACAATAATTCTGAGACATGATTAGTTCATTCATTGGCGGGAATAGGTCAGGCTGGGGTGATAGGTCAGTTCTAAAGCGGGGTACACATTCAAACTGATTGGTTCAGGCCCTGCGATGCCTACATGCAAGATCGCACAGGGTCCTGGGTTGTTAAACAACCAGATGGTCAGGGGGAATATTTACTGGGCAGTTCGAGTATTGTCTTAACAGCTACAGGAATTTCAGGTTTTACATGTAGCCTAGGAACTTAACAATACCTGGTCCTTTACATTTTAACTCAGGCCTTGGAGCTTAGAAACTTTACAATGCCCGGTCTTTTATACTTTAACTTTTACACTTTAACTTCAATTTCTTTTACCCTTACAAAACAACAACTCTTAACATTGATTAGCACATTCACTGGCTGATACAAGTTGGGTAGGAGTGATTGGTTAGTACAAGAGGGGGATTCCTTTGAACTGATTGGTTTAAACCATGAGGGGTGTACGTGCTAAACGACATGGTTTCCCGACATGGTATCAACCACCATAAACTACAGGCATCCCAGGTATTTTCCCTGTCTCATGCTGATTGGTGGTTGCTATGGGTCCTCACCTAACCTAACTGAGTCAGGGACACCTGGCACTGCAGATCTCTCCTGTTATTTGCAGACAAACAACTCAGCAGGGTGGGTATGTGCCTAGAAAGGCTCTGTGGGTTTTTCCAAGGACAAGGGTCACGCCTCCTTCCTTAGGACAGGCCTTGAGATAGAAGCTGCTGTTATTTATTTATTTCCAAAAATGGAGTCACATCAGTTTCTCAGTTACAGGTAAAAATAATAAAATTAAAGAAATTATCAATATCATGAAGCCATTGAAAGAGCAGAAATAAAAAGAGGATCCTAAAGTTTCCAGAGGAAAAAGAAAAAGGGCTAGGTGTGATATGAAGAGCCAGGAAACAGAATAGGATATCTTAGATCTCTATTGTTTGCTGAAGGCAACAAAGCAATTCTGAAGGAACAGAATTCTTAACTTAGATTTTTAAAATTTCTAGCCACATTAGCCCCCCCAAAAAAGATGAAGGGTACACTAAAGATATTTTCAGACATGCAAAGACTTAAAAATACGTATCTCATCTATATCCCATATTATATATCTATATTGCTCATATACTTAGGAAATTGCAGGGGCATGTGCTCCAGGAGATGAGAGAGTATCCCCCAAGGAGAAAGACACAGGGTCCAGTGTAACGGCGGAGTCCTTGCTTCCCCCAATGCTGAAGTATAATGCCAGGGAAGCACACTAGGGCAAGTGAAGAGTGGAAAGTGGGGGGCTTTATTAAAGGACAGCAGAAAGGACACCCCCAACCCCCTAGGAAGAAGGGGACCTGAAAGGTGGAATCCTTTCCAGAGGAGGTCTTTCCTCTTTTATAGCTAAGGTTTTCTCCCACATTCCTGTCCTTTATTTCCCTCTGTCCTCCGTGTGATGGGGGATGAAGGTGGGAAGGCCAAAAGGTGGGAAACAGGTGGACCTATGGGGCAGGGAGGAGTGATCTGGGCAGGAAGGGCCTAGGGTGGTTTGATTAACATCTCCCTGTTTTGCTGGGAGCTGCTTTATTAACAGTTCTTTAGGACCGAATTTCCCAGGTGTCCTTCTGGTTTCCTGGGCTCAGATCAAACTCCATTTTCTTTATTGGACTTGATATTAGACCCGATTTACCTATCTACACTAACTACCTATCTTTAAATCTGGCTTCACCAGGACCTGGTGGATTTGAACATGACAGACATCTGGGATGAGAGTTGTGCCATAGAGGTTTATCTATGATATTGCCCCAAACAAATAAAAATAGTTGAAAAATTACATAAACAAATGAAAGCAATTGGGGGGGGTGGAAATAGTGTATTCACTAAACAAACAATTCCCTCATTATTTAATTTCTATACAGAATAATGTAAAAAAAAAATGCACTAAGGATTGTCTTTGTATAATAAGGCAGATCTCCTTGTGTCCAAGAAATTCCTCCCCAATAGTCATCCCTAATCTCTTTACATTAAACTTCCCATTTGGGGGGCTGGGGATATAGTTTAATGGTAAAATATGTGCTTGAAATGCATTAGGCCTTGGGTTTGACCCCAGGAATAGAAAAAGAAGGAAAAGGAGGAGGAGGAGGAGGAGGAGAAAGGATGAAAGGCAACTATGGAAAAAAAATCAAGTCCCATTCTTCAAAAATAGCAAGACAAGGTGGGTGTGTGGCACAGGCCTGTAATCCCAGGTGCTTGGCATGCTGAGGCAGGAGTATCGCCCCTGGGTTCAATCCCTGGTACCAAAAAAAAAAAAAAAAGGAAAAATACCCCACAAAAAACCAAAACAAAACAAAAACAAAAACGGAAGACAAGAACATTATTTATCAGCTACCTGCTGTGAATGGCTTTATGTTAAGTACCTTTCAGAAACCAGAGGAGTATGTTCATGACAATGCAGATGATCATGTTTAAAAAAAAAATCATTCAGATATGAGAATTTTATAGGGAGCCATAACATTTCTATATACAAAATCATGTAACAGTGATTATTTCCAAACAGTCTGAATGTTCTCTCCATAGTTCAAGTTTGCCACTCATTGTTAAAATATCCTTATACTGAAGCAAGTATTGTTTCTCAAAAGTATTTGCTAAGAAATTTTCTCTTACAGCTACTCATTATAATAAAAATTATCAATTTGGAACTCTAATCTTTTTTAAAAAAACATTTTTCTAGTTTTAGATGGACACAATACCTTTATTTTATTTATTTTATGTGGTGCTGAGGATCGAACCCAGTGCCTCACAAGTGCAAGGCGACTGCTCTGAGCCCCAGCCCCAGCCCCGAAACTCTAATCTTTTTGACAAAAATATTAAATGGCTATTTAAAAACTTCATATTTTGGAAAAAAATAAGCTTTCACAAAAACAGAGCAAATGTATAAAAGACACTGTCCATCACCTAACTTCAACAATTTTTGTTTTATCTCTAACAGCTCTTTATATTCAAGTATTTTAAAGTGAATCCCAGATATCATGTAATCTATCTGCAAATACTTAAGTATGTATGTATGTATGTAAATACTTAAGTATGTATGAATAAATATTAAGATAATCACAACATCCACCATAGCTAACAAAGTTAATGAATTTCTTTTTGAATAATTAAAATCAATTTTTTAAAGATAATTTGTTGTATGGAAGTACAGTTCACATACAATTTAATTCTGGATGATTTTTGATAGCAGCTAATATTCACTGACGTCATTTAATCTTGACCACATTCTTTTAAAGTAATCGTGGTCATGAACTTTATAATGACACTTTGGTCACTGAGCACCACGGATATGACAATGGTGCCTAAGATTATAATGGAGCTAAGAAACTCCCATTGCCTAGCGATGCCTAGTGTGACGGGAGACTTTTCCCCTTCGAATCCCTCTTCTGGGGCCACACTGCAACACCCGTCGCTCCCAGTGAACTTCGGAGCGCAGCGATCTTTGTGCCAGGTTTCCAACCCCCTCTGAGATTCCAGCGCAGACTTTCAGATTCCCAACCCTGTTGGCCCTAGTCCCAGGCTGCCGGCCTCGCCTGGCCTTTGCCCCCGTAGCCACCTCACTGTGGCGGGGACTCTGGGACGCATTCGGACCTCACCTGCTGCCAGCAGATGGGGACCGGGTAATCCAAGAGCCTCAGGTAGGCGCGACGCGGAGCTGGAGCGCTCAGGAGCTGGAGTAGGAGCAGCAGCAGCTCCAGCCAGGACCCCGGAACGACGCGCGGCCGGCGAAGCGGATCGCCCATGGCCCTGGCACAGTGGCCGGGGATCCGAGGCCACAAGTGGGGAACGGCTCCTCTCCCTGCCACGGAGCGGCCTGAGTCCTTGGTACTCCGCCAGCTTCCGGCTTCCAGCAAGGTCCCGGGGTTGTTGCGGAGCAGTCTCTCCCTTGGCTCCGCCTTCCCGCGTCTCCCAGGTGCACCCCATCCGAGTCCACCGCACCCACTTGCAGCGAGAGCCCCGCTGCCCCGCCTGCAGTGCCAAGTCAGCAGAGCAAGCAAGGGAGCGGTCGTTGGCTCTCCAGCCTTGGCTGGCTCCCAAAAGTAATCTCTGTCAAGTGTTCAAAGTGGATTTTAATCCTCCCGCTACCCCTCTGCTGTCGCTCCGGTCCAGACTTCCCAACTCGGGACTCAGGGAAGTCCGTTTTGTTAACACCAGTTCCTTTTCATCCTTCCCCTCCCCACTCTATTTTCTCACTCTACAGTATCAAGTTTTTCTTTCTCTTTCAAAAGTCTGGGAGGAACAACTCTAGGATGGGGAAGGAGGAGGGAGCAGTCTTTTCCTAGCCTGCTGGAAGTCCAGTTCCTAATCTCCTACCACTGTGCCCTCACAGCGGTCAAGTGTGCTGCATATTGTCAATCAGGACTGTCCAGTCAGCTAATTACATCTACAGGGGCTACTCTGCAGAAGAAGGGATCTGTCCCAATAAATACACCATAAATTGAAAACGTGCTAAACGAAATGCATTTAATACACCTAGCCTACCGAACGTCTTGGTTGTTCACTCACTGTTCACCTTTGAAATCAGGTGCCTGACAGGGGAGCTGGCCTGCTGGTTGCTCAGCATGGGATTTCCAATCACATACCACTAGCCTGTGGCAAAGGTCAAAACTCAAAATCCAAAATACAGTTTCCACTGAATGCAAATAGCTTTTGAACCATTCTAAAGGTGAAAAACCATAAGCTATGAGTCACACCATCCTAAATGACAACCCATCTGTAATTAGTGTCCATTTCTCACCATCCATTCCCCACCACGTGTATCATTGCATCGTCTCCTCTGGACCCTTTAAGACCCTCCCAGCAGGCCACTGTTTTTCCCTCCCCTTGGTTCCTGCCACTCCCTCAAGTCCTTCTTACTTCCTGCCTAATCCTCTCCTGTTTCAGCCTCCATGCTCTGGTCACACTTGTCCTCACACAACTGCACTTTTTATCCTTTTCCTCTATCCAAGTCCCACCAGTGTCCTCATTTCCTTCCTTACTGAAAGAATTCCCCACGCAAAGACACTTCGCCGGGAGAATTCCAATTTTATTGCAAAAAGCAGTGTGCTTATATAGAACTAAGGGGAAGATGGTAGGGTTTAGATAAATGGCAGGCAACCCGTTTATTGGCAAGTTCTTTCAGATATCAGCTCCGGAGCCCAGGAATTAGTTCTTATTGGGGCTAAGGTTCCCCGCCAGCGAGGTTTGAAATTGGCGCCGGTGGGAGAGTTCACACAGGCGGGAACTTTTCGCGCCACTGCAGAAAAGAAGAAGGTAGGAAGAAGAGGTGCTTAGGCGCCATGTTGGGGTTTTTTCTCTGGGGTATGGCTGCCGTTTATAGTTTTCCCAACACTTACCAAGTCTGAACGCCACTGTCTGGCCTTTGATGCCCACAGAATCTAGACTCATTTAACTTTTCCCTGCATTTTCTACCTACCTGGATAGGAGCTTCCATGTCTGGGGCGGTGGCTTTTCTCACTGTCCAAAGCATCCTCACCCTTTCCTGGCTGCTGGTAGACCCCTTGCCAGGATCCCAGTGAGCTCTGCCTGCAGGACAGGACCCACTGATTGAACAGTTCAGCCAGTCATTGGCCTTAATATATTTTGCTTATTTCTAAAAGAATTTTGGTAGGCAGGCACTGTACCATTGAGCCACATCCCCAGTCCCTCTGAAAGAATTTTGAAAAACTGCATCCTTTTATACATTTTTAATAGGACAGAAAAAAAAATCACCCTAAGTGTAATCAGATGTTGAGGAAGTGTTATGAAAAACTTGACATTTGTGGTAGGCAGCATCCTAGATGGCTCCTGAAAGTTCTACCTCCCTATATTCACCCCCTTTTGTAATTGCTCTCCCCTTGGGGGGTAACAGATCATAATGATTTGGTTCCAACAATAGAATATAAGTAGGATAAGGCACTGTCACTTAAAAAAATTAGGTTACAGAAACACCATGATTTTGTGTTGCTCGGCCTCTTTCTCCCAGGCAAGCCAGACTGGGAGACACTCAAGTAGTGGGAATTAAGAGAGCCTCTGGCCGCAGCCAGTGGGGAGTTGAACCCCTCATTAACTAATTACAATTAGTACATAATCAAGCCTAATATGATATGTAGAAAATGCATGTTGACAAGTTATTATTATTTTGACAGGTCTCTCTAGGTTGCCCAGGTTAGCCTTCTGACTCCTGGGCTCAAGTGCTCTCTATCCTCTTTCCTAGTAACTGGGATTCTAGACACCCATGTTCTGCTGTGCCCAAATTGATAAATAACTGTTAAACATAAAAATAAAGTTATTTGAAATTCACTCTTAATGAGATGAATGGATTTTTTCTTCCTTAATGTCAGATCAGGCTGGGCAGGCAGCAACCAAAGTTGGCAGATTTAAAAGGGCCGCTGAACAGGCTTTATTGAGATATCACTCCCGGGCGGAACTCGATCAGACCCACAGAGGGGACAGGGGAAGGGTCTGAGGAGAAACCGAGTGGAAGCTCGACCGGACTGGACTTTTATGGGGCTTACAGCAGGAAGGGAAGGGCTTGGGACAGGAAAAGGTGTCTCTAGGGTCCCTTGCCCCCTTGGAGTTGGTCAGGGGTGTTGGCTGAACTCCAGGATTGGCCAGGGGGTCCTGCTGATTGACAGGCGTTAGTCAGGAGATCTGGCTGATTGACAGGCGTTTCCGCCGGCATCTGATTGAAGTTCAAAGCAGCGTGGGCTGCTTTGTTCTAAGTTGCCACTAAGTCGCCACCAAGTCGCTGCCACCGATCTAACACTTAATTGTTCATGTATCTATGGATGAATATTGCTTATTAATAGAATGAGACAACATTCAGCATTTAGTAATATTTTAGATGTAAGCCTTAAAAAACTTGCTTGCCTAAATGATTATGACTTGGTTTTGATATGACCATGTTTCTCAATTCTTTGAGCACCTTTAGAAAAATCACATAGCCATCTGTAGGTTATTTTTGTTTTCTATTTGTTTGTTGCCAGGATGGGGATTGAACGCTGGGCCTCCTTTATGGGAGGCAAGCATTATACCACTGACTATATCTGCAGCCCCTCAATAAGTATTTTTAATGATTTGGCTGCTGAAAACTTGATTGGGTCCTTCTGTTTTTGGAAAGGCAATAATTGGAACACATTTGACTTGCAAAAAGAAAGTATCCATTTATCTAACTACTTACCTGACAATCAGAGTCCTGTTAGACACCACTATTGGAGATTATTCCTTTATCTCATGTCTGGGGTATTTTTCATACTCCAGACTGGTGAGAGGCCTACTTTCCTTCTGAAAGCAGGAGAAGGATAAGAATAAAAACAGGCTAGGAAAGGAGGGAGTCTCCATCTACACCTGCCACATGGACAGCTGGTAGCTTCCCAAGCAGGTAAATTCCTGAGAGGACACAGGGATGCTGAGATTCTGGAAACCCTTTCCCTCCAAGACAGGATCAGTGCACTTTTTCTGTAAGGGATAAGATCATAAATGTTTCAGATTCAAATGCCCCAGCTACTTAACTCTGCCCTTGTAGCAGCCACAGACAAAGGAGTGTAGCCATGTTCCCAAAATCTTAAATCTGAATTTATATAATTTTCACCTGTCCCCAATTTTTATTCCCATTTTTATTGCTTCCCCCAACTACTTGAAAGTGTGAAAGTCATCTTAGCTTCCTGAGTGGTGGGGGAGCAGAACAGAGGCACTAGGTTGCTGACCCCTGCCCTAAAGCATCCATATAGGCATGCCCCCAGGAGAGCCTCCTGGTGCTCTGGGGAAGGTGTACTCTAGTGTGAAATTGCCACTGAGGCTCTTGACCTTGGCTGCATGCTGGAGTCACCTGGGGTGATTCGCAAAATACCACACCCACTCCACCCTTGGCTCAGATGGTCTAAGTATTTTTAAGTGGTTTCCCAGGTGATTCTAATCACAGCCTGATTTTGGACCACTGTCCTGATTGCCATAAGTGCCGCACTGTTCACAGGTCATAGTGCTGCTTTGTGATGTGGCTACTGTGTTGTATCCAGTAGAAGACCTCATTGTTGTAAGATAAAGTCCAATTTCAGAGATTTTAAAGTCTAAAATATGTTTCTGACTGGATGAAATAGAAACTTGCCTACAAGATGGATCCCCTCCAATGGGCTGGGTTCTGGCTTCCTCAGCTCTGTGCTCCTCTCAGCCAACTGTGTATTGACAGGCAACTGAGTTTATTGCATGTTCTCTGGATTCTTTTCCCTGACAAAGAGCCTCATCATGAGGATAGATACTAAAAAAAAGACAGAAAGAGGAAAAAATGATTTTCTTTCTTTCTTTTTTTGTAGATTCATTGACTAGTAGACAAGTATCAGGAGTCAGTCAGATAAGAATTGGAGAATTTGGTGGTATCTTTGGCTCTGGGAAGTGAGAAATGACCACAGATCCCGTTGCTGGGCAGCAAGAGTGATGGGACATCTATCTCCATGAGGAAAACCTGTTAGACCAGGACGCAAGAAAAGACCACTGGCTCCAAATAAAATCAAATTAAAGCAAGCTGATTATTTCGACCGGCCGGGCTGCCTCTCCCACCAAAAACCACGGGAACAAGACAGCCCTGCAGCTTTCTTGCAGCCCAGCTTTATAGCCCAGAAAGTTACACAAAGTGGGGTTACAGATAACAAAACTCTGAGGAGCAAAACACAGTGGCTAGTTTACGTTTCTGCTGGCCCTGACATCAGAATTTATGAAGGTCATTAGAGCCTCAGAGAGGGTCATTATCTGGCCAGGGAAGGCCAAGATTGATGAGGCATCACTAAAGTTTCAGAGAGGGCTGCTATCTGGTCAGAGAGCCAGGCATGGGTGAGTTCAAGGCACGGGCAGGCATTCCAAGAAGGTTCAGAATTTGCAGTAATTTATAGTAAAACCAAAATTATCTGTTCATGGCTTTGTGGTGAGATGGCTCCCAATTTTAAGAGACAATCAGGTTGGGTCTATCATACCCCCCTTTTCTTATGTGTCCCTTTCAAATCTTTGATAGGGTAGGGGAAGAGCACTGAGGGAATTTTAATCCCTCAGGTAACAGTCTCCAACTTTTTTTGAAGTCACCCAAATCTGGTCTCCCTGATTTGACCTGAC